GTGCTCCGGCTCGCTCTCTTGAACACCCAGCAACCACCACCCTGTGCTACGACCTCAGTAGCCTAATGTCCCCCTCACCCCACATCCCACCCTTCTCTTTCAACCCTGGCAGCGCTCCTCAGTCAACCAGATGTGAAGAACAAAAGGAAAAGCTTGGATCAAGTCTGCAACCCTACGGCACTCCACATGCAAAGAGCTCACAGGGCGAGGCCTGTGGTCAGAGGAGACAAGCCTCCCACGGCTGAGTGCTTTGTTGTCCTAAAGGCAGTGCTGTCTGCCTTCATCGCTACGATAATTAGCTGTTGAAGGTGAAAGAGCAAGGCCACTCCAAGCAGAATTCATTATCCCTATGCCTGCGAGCAGTACTCTCTAGAAAAACAACATAAAATGTGAGAGTGAATTGCCCTCACCGATTTTGCTGATTCCACTAAATTTCAGATCTAATAATGTCTCCATATTGCTTCAATTGTCTCTTCTGAGGCGCAGCTGTGACTCTCCCCCCTAAAGCGTTGTGGCTGCAGAAAGGGAAATAAAACCTAGCCAAGGCGTTCAACACGGCAGCCTTTTAATATACTGCCTGTTCCCTATGTTCATATATTCTGTCTCTCCAACGACTGTCTCCCTGCTAGAAAGACTAATAGAATTGGCTCCTCTTATTCTCAAAGCTGTGGTATAATCTGGTTAAGGAGTTTTTTCTCCTGGGATGAAAGGTGACTTCTGTTTAAGGATCCAAAGTAGCATTTAGTGGAAATAGCTTCATTTCCTGCCTCCTGGATGTTCTGCCACCACCTTCTACATCCACCCTATCTAAATTTGGACACCTAAATAAGGTGATAAACCTTGGTGGATAGCCGAGAGGGGCTGCTTACTGGTGGCCATTGAGACCCTCCTAAAACCAGAGTCATGTGAAGGTCCTCACGTTTCCACTGATTGTAGAGAGAGCCTGCACTCCTCTTACCCGTAGCACCTCAGACACTCTGGGTTTGCATCCAGATCCCAAGGCTGAACAAGGCATTTGGGCCCATTTATTTAGAGGGTCTGTTACTGCTCACGTCAGCTTCTGTTATCTGTGGGATGAGCTGAACTGTGCTGTCAATGGAGAGCCCTGTAAAAGCTTGAATGGATGGCTGATTAGCCAGCTAACTTGATCTTCATCCAGACAGTTTTCCAGATAAAACAGCACTGAACCACAGAGTAGGTCGATGATGCTGGTGTTTTATTTTTCTATTGCAATTGCATGGTACAAAGGCCAGCTGTGAATCAGGGCCCCCTTCTGGTAAGTGCAGGTGAGAAAACACATCTCTTGCCATGCATTTCAGAGAAAGCTGGGTCTTCCGGAGCTCTAGGATTACTTGTTTGTGGTCACGCTCTGGCTAGCACAACCTCTGCACTTTTCTCTCCGTTACCATATTGCTAGATACAAGATGAGAGCCCTGTTTAACATCCAGCTTTTTGGTTAAAGTAGCTCTCTTCCTCCTGGGTCTGCTTTGCATTTGTACCCAGGGCACTAGTAAAATACTTTCTGCCTCTCATGTGCAATGGCATAGTAATTTGTTTCCTGGATATCTCCTTGTCATTCAATCTGACAGTTCTCCTCCCTTAGGAGATGCTGGCTTCTCCATCTCCTCTGAGGCAGTGTAGCTGCCAAAGTCCATCTCAATCCATCTGGACTGAAAACTCCTCTCTGGCATTCTCCCCCCGCCTCCCCCATCTGCATGGGTGAGAGAAATGTCAAGGAATGAAACACAAGAACTCTCTTGGTCTGTCAGTTCACGTGAAAGGAGGAGAAAGCCTGAACTGTGTATCTGCCCTTCACGCATGTTAGATGCCCTGCAGAATTACCCACAGCGCTGTAGTAGAAAGTGTTGCCAAACAGGTCACTGTTGATTCGCTGCAGAGCAGCTGACCCAGGCAGCAAAGGAACTAGGAGGAGATAGGGAACGACATGCCTGAGCTGAGAAAAAGGCACGCTCTAATATGATTCTATGATTCTATGATTCTAATCTGTTTTAAGGGGAAGAAAGTTTGAACTCCGAAGTTAGACCAGTGTAATGCACAAGGGAATGGGGAAGAGGTATCTGATGAGAACAGCTACACGCTGTGCTCGCTCTGGGTCAGGTCTGGCTCTCACGTCTGCTCTCCTGTCCTGTCTGTTCTCTGGTCTGCATCTGAGCGGCTTGTGCTCAGACTCCCGTCCAGCTACTTGTTCAAACCAGACAGCATGTCCAACAAGCCCGTGTTAAAGCATAGTTATCAAGGGCAGTGGCGACTTAATCACGTTTGAAAAAAGAGCTCTCTAATTTCAAAGCGACCCTATTACTGGAGAAAAAGAGTTATCATTAGTCATGGATATAAGCAGTAGTTCATGAACACAGACTCACTAGGTTGTAGCTGACTACAAAAACTAGTGCAAACATAGTGCAGCTGTACATTGGTATGAATTGCTAGCACCTTTTTTATGATAATGTCATTGCTGATCTGTCCAAGCCAGTTTTCGTCAATAAGAAGTTAAATCTTTGCCAGTGCACAGGATGCACAGGATGTGCTCTCTTACCCTTTTGGACCATGCCTTGGGCATTGCTGTGAGTACTCCATGGCTTTTAGTCCTCAAGCCCTGCCCCGGCCCCAAACCCAAAATTTTCTGAGCCCAACTGCATCCTCTTGAATGCTCTTAGGATGGTGCTCAGTTCCATTTGGATCAGCAGCACCATAACCTCACTCCTGGAGCATCCAGACAGAGTATCTCTCCACACAAAAACAATTGCAATTTTTTGTTCTCTGGCTGGGATTCCTGGACTGCTGCTTTTTGTTCGGGTTTATTTTATTCTCAACATAAATATAAAGAAAACAAAACTAGTGCAAGTAATAGCCTGAAACTACTAAAGTTGCATTGCAGGAGACGTGGAACTAGAACAAGGAAAACATTCTCATGCGGGGGGTGTCTGAGTAGAATTGGTTAATCTTGGGTTCAGACTTTCATTCACTCAGCAGGCCTGCCCCACCATATTTACTTAAAATCACAGCAAAGTGCATTAAAACAACGTTAAAGCAGAGACACCAGCCCGCAGAGAGCAAATAGAACCAGGGGCGCTCTGAGATGAGACAGCAGTGTGCTTATTTCAGGCTCTCCTCTCCCTATCAGATGGTGCCCCCTTTTTTTGTCAGCACCAGAAATGCTGGGATGCCGCAGAGGGAGCGTAGTGTTTCTGGTCAGGGCCGTTGCCCACTCTGGCACTTGTTTTGTATTGGCATTTTGTCCTGTGCAGGGGATGGAGAACGTGTCCCCACTGCACCGATGCTAATGGTAGCACAGAGTACACAGCAACCCTCTCCTCCCTTTTCCGTCTATGCTGTCATGCTGTAAGGACAAGCCTTAACTGAGAGAGTATTAATCCTCCAGGAAAGGCATTGCCATGGGCGTATTCATGACCGTTACGTGGGTCTGCGCTCTTCCCCGGAGCCCGATTCCTCGAGGAGAGCCTGGG